GCGCCGCGGGGCGGGACCGAGGCCATGGCGGGCGTGTTGGGCCGCTCGTCGCGGTGCGCTGAGGTAAAACGGCCCCTTTCGGCTTAACATGGCCCCCGGGCCGCGGGGGCGCTGCCGGGGCGCCCTGGGGCAGCGCGAGGCGGCGGCGGCGGCCGCGGGCGCCTGGAGGCCCCTCCGAGGGCTCCCGGGGTCGGTGCGCGGAGCCCCGCGGCGCCGGCAGAGCCGGGCGCTCGGCACTGCTGCCCCGGCCGAGACGGGGCAAGAGCAGCCTGGGGAGGTGGCGGGGGTGCCAGGACTCGGGTGCGAAACCAGGAGGAGCTGGAGCTGCGGCTTCCAGGGGGGCTGGGTTGGTCAGGGAGCTGGAAGGGGGCTGCCTGGAGGGTCCCTGCGCAGGTCCCCTCTGCGGACTGCACCCTGCAGCTGCTGAACGAACTTTGCTTTTGTGACTAGCCACCCTTAAATAGGTACAGCTATTCAAGCAATTCGTGTGCATGGGGATTTGTCCAGTTGTCATTATTCAAAACTATTAATTATTTGGAGGGTGACATTCAGTGATATGTTAAACATCTGACATGTTAATTTTGTGAACAGGGTTTATTGAACGAACAATGGTTGTCTTTGGCAATGCAGTGAAGAACAAAGTCCTTGGCAAGTACTCCAGGTGGAGTCAGCCTGCTGCTCAAAGCCCCTCTCCTTTTCCTGCAGTTGGGTAGAGCCTTAGAGAAGGGCATCGAGGTGGGTTATGGTGCCATCTCACCTGACAACACTTGTGTTAGTCAGATTTATCTATAGCGTTCTTTGTGTATGAAACAACTTAATGGAGTTTGTCACAAATGACTTCTCTGAAACTGTTGAACTTAAAAATGAAATTTTCTTTATCACCAGCTTTATCTGTATAATGCTAAAAAGCTTATGCAGTTTACTTTTTTTATTACAAGTATAATTTCTAAAACTGAATAGCAAATGATTGTTTGGCTTCTAAAATAAGCTCAGGAAAAGAAGTGTACGTGACAGCCAGTTTTAGCAGACCCATGTGGTAGTCTAGCATTACTTCAAGACGGTGTCGTATCCTTCTGTAGGCTGCCCAGATCTGCATACACTCTTTTCTGCATATTGCCAAAAGTTAAATAAAGGTGAGATATTGCAGAGTCACTGTTGACACAAATGTTATAATATTTTTCCATGCTTTTGTGCTATAGCCCTCCTAGCATAATCAAATCCTTTCAGTGCTCATTCTGTGAAAAGAGCAAAGTAATAAAGTCCCCAACTGTGGGGAACTTGCTTTGACTCTAAGCCGATCAACAGCTTATGAAACAGAATGCATCTTTTCTCTCTCAAAAAAAATTACCTTTAGGGACAAAAGGCTTATGATGTGCTGGCTGTATGTAATTCTTTGTCAGACATACAGATGTGAAATGCTGCAGAGACAAGATGCACAACAGGGTGCTAACCTTTGTTAGCAGAGATCCTGAGGTTGCAAAAGCTTCTCAAAGCTGTTGCTGTTTCTATGCAAAAATGATGAGGACAAAAGATATTAATGCAGAAGATTTTGAAAGTAATTACAGAGTCTGAGTATTAAGCAGTTCTATCAGAGAAGAGACTTTATGTGGACTGGGCACCAGTTGCAGAAGAAAGAGACTTAAGCTTAGCTCTCAGGGCAGAGCAATTGCTGAATACTTCAGCAAAAACAGTTCATGCAGTCACGGAATGGGGGAAGAAATCTCCAACCAAGGTAAAAAATAAATAGCCAAATGTTACATATCTTTTGATATAGAAATTAATTAAAAATACACAAATTCTTTATTTTTAGTTATTTTTTAACCTTTTCTGCCAATTCTTACTTTTAACAGGGCTAAGTCTGATGGCAAGCTGGAGAATAAGGAGTATCTCCCAAGAAGAAAATGCTATGTACTAAATGGCTCCTTCCAGAAGAAGTATGTAATAAGGTCAAATATATAACAGAAAACTCAAAATTTCATACTATAAATTGTTACTAGCTATTTAGTCTATATAGATGTTTCCACAAATGGCGACTAGCACTGACATAATCAGTAGAATGAGAATGCACATGAGAGGGAAAAGGAAAAAAGATGACTATAGAAATGACAAAAAATGAAGATGAAGTTGGAGGAAAAAAAAGGAAAATGAGGTAGAGAAATAATGTATCAAGAGAAGTTATTAGAAATAAGGTAGAGGCAAAAGCGATGAAACTGAAAATTCAAAATTGAAGATTCAGTTATGACTGTTATGCAACTTGAGTGATCTCAAATGGCTATGATAACATTCATCTCAGCATGAGAAATTAATAACTGTAATCAGCTGCTACTGGTGACTGCTGCCTTTTATGAATTCATCCATTCTGGATTTGTAATGCATTTATTCAAAGAAAAGTTATCAGCATAGTATGTTTTTTCCAGCTTTTCAGATCTGCCTTTTTATAATTCTGTCTAAGCTTTAGGAGATAGACAGCTATGTATGCAACTAAGACAGTGTATTGAGTATATTGTCATTTTAAAGCATAGAAGCACAACAAAGAAGTGTGTGGTACAGGCAGGGAAGCACAGCTGATTGGGAGAGAACTTGAGAGCAAAAGATAAATTGGAAAGTTGCTTACAGGTTCTATTAGAAAAGTATTATTCCTTTCTACAAGTTCTAATAGAAAAAGTATTATTCCTTTCTACTTCAGTCTAGCTAAACTAATTGAATCAAGACTTTAGGTTCTTTGCTTTATAAATAGGAATTTTTTGAAAGTACTTCTGCCTCTCCTAATATGTTCATTCTGGCTTGCCAGGATTCTCTTGTACTCCTGGCCTTTCCTGAGCAAAGTTGCTCACTTGAGAATGTGAAATAGATTATTTTATATTGTTACCCCCAGCAGAAAGATTAAAAGAAAAAAAAAAAAAAAAAAAAAAACTGAAAAACCCACAACTGAATCAAGCTGAAATTTTATTAAAATATTTGTATGAAATTATATCACCAGTGTAGCAGGTAATTCCACATTAAAAATGCTGGTTCAGCAGTAAGATTTCTATATGATGATATATGAGAATAATGATGTATCTCTTTTTAGTTCTTATAAAACAGTTTATTGATGTTTTAGTGTTATCCTTTTATTTTCTATCTTGTTTATTCTGAAATTATTATTTAATATTAATTAATAGAAAATCTTATACAAGCATCTGACATTCCTTTTCTGCAGTCACTGGTTTTAGTCTGTTTTACTGTGGGAAGTGGGCCAGAAAGGTTGATCCTGTAGCCTGTTCATAGGCAAAAAGAAACTAGTACCATGTACAGTAGAAAGACTGTACACTTGTAGATCTGTCTTTCTGCATTCAGCAAAGTTATTCACCAGGAAACTTGTGTAGGACTAGATGCATAGAGTTCAAGATTGGAATGAGGAGGTTTCCTGCCTTAAGTACAAACTGTTTATACATATCAGCCCATCCCCATTTAATCTGTAATCCTGTTGAAGAAGTGACTCAGTGATGCTTGCTATTACCATAGTGCTGTCAGTCATATTATAGCGTTTTCAATTAATTTAGTAATTTCTCATAGGAATACATGTATAGCAATTCATTCCTCAGAATGTTGGCAGATTTTCTAAAATGTTTCAGTTAAGCACATTCTGGCTCCATTGATGTTGCCCTGAATTTTAATTATTTTCCATTGCAGAATTCTGATTTAAAGATGACCTGAATATATTTCTTAAAGGATCAACGTGTGAGGTTGCAAATTGCAAGGATGAAAGGTTTGTTCGTTATGTGTTGGTTTTCATTCCAGTTGTTGGTTAATTCCTGGAAAAGCTTAGACCTTAAAGACCACATCAGAAGTACTGTATGTTCTCACTGCAGATTTACTGTATCTCATAGAAAAAGCAAAACAAAGGAAAACTTGACATAGTTTTCACATATATTCTAATTAGACCATGCATTAGTGAAAGACATTGGAACAGGGTTAAAAAACAACATTCTGCTAAGCTTTTCTCCCCCACCACCTCCCCCCCACCCCAGGTACATTAGCTGAGGTGATGGTTTCAGGAGCCTTATGGAAATATTAGCTTGGGAAATATTTAAATGTTTTTAACTTTTCTAATGGAGGCTTTGGTTTTCTAGAAAAAGTAGTATCTATTTTTATTATACTTCTGCAATCTGTTTCACATTTGCACTGTACCAGAACACATTTTTCCATCTTTCCCTCTTAGAATTTTGAATTTTTCTCCTAATCATTTTCTTCCTACCTCTATCTTCTTTTTTTTTTTTTTTTTTCTCTCCCCAGCTATTTTGTCTGGTTTTCAGATCAGATGTTTCTTCTCTTTGGTACAGAAGAATCTTCAGTCCAGGTAGAAACTCTGACCTCTCCAGATCTTCTGGAGGCTCTGAGAACACCAAGGAATAACTGCAAATAAAGTACAAGAACAACCGTTCTGCTGCCTTCTGACAGGTGACCACCAGCCAGTCGTTCAATGACTACTGTGAGTAGTGCTGATCAGGCTATTTAAATTTGATAATTACTAATTCTGAAAAGTAGGACACTTAACTGGGGAGAAATTATTTTTATAATCTTTATAGAAGTTTCTCTTGCAAGCTTGAAAAAACTGTGGAAATAAACTTTTAACTACCAGACTTTATGCTTTTTCTGCCATATTTCACTACAGGTGATGGTTTTGGCAGACCTTCTTCTCCTTGGCAGGAATTCCACCTTTAGTTTAGGGGTAACTTGAATACTCCATCCATTCTGGGGTGCTCAGTTAGCAGAAGAAGGAGTCTCCATATTACATGACTATATGATGAGCTACATTTCCCTCTATCCCATGTGCGTACACACTTTCCAGACTGATGCTTCTCCGGTGCTCCTCTTCAGCAATGAAAACGATGTAAGAGAATGAATAGTGCATGTCTTTGATCTTCCAGTGTGCTGCAATTTGGGGGTGTGCTGGTAGATTCAGAGTAGATTCAGTATCAATATACAGAGCAGCAAAACTTCAAGCTGATGATTTTGAGGGCTGGAACAAGAATGAGTTGCCTACTGCCCCAGTCCTTCATAGTCCTGTCTGGTAAGGGCATTGGAAGTCACAGAGCATGCTGCCTCTGCTGGTGGACATTATCGGTGTTCCTTGCTGGGACATAGCATTGTTTACCAATGTATTGGAGGTAAGAGAAAAATATTCCTGGAACATAAAACCCAAGGAATAGTGTGTCTTATGATACTGTGCAACAATAGGACGTTCTGACCCTGCATTTCAGATAAGCTGAAGTTAGAAGTCAGATACTTAGCATTTCTAAAAAGCTCTCTTGTAATTTCTCCCTTTCTCCTTGTCAGGAGTGGTTTCTATAGTATGAATCATATTTCTTAATTCTGTTAGGTAGTTAGTGAGAAGACATGCAGAATACTCCTTGTAGAAAGCAGTAATTTATGCTTTTTTGCTTGTTCTATTTTAAGTTCAAAATTATGTACCTGATGGCTAACTGTACTGCTGACTTGCTCATCCTTTTCCAAGGCAAACGTTTAACATGTAACAGAAAAGAAGTATTAAAACAGTAGTCAGAGCAAAACGGATGATCACTGATAATGGGCCACATGACTTCAGTAATATTAGGAAACTGATTGTTGACAGAGCCTTTCTGCTGGTAACCTGATTCAGGGCTGGTGGCTCATTGTGTAAAAACCACGTTCTGCGAGAGCTATAGAATAAATGAGGAGGCTGAAGTGATTTCTATTAAGATCACAAGTTCTCCTTTTTTTGTTCTTCAATGCTTTCTTTCTGGTTTGTATCTTATAAATTGGAAATGTTTATTCTGATAAACGTATTTTCCCCTTTAGCTGCTTTTTACAGCTTTAGAGGATACAGCTGAGACCTCAGTTTAGGGCAAATCAGAATAAAAACCTTTTTGTATGACAGCATAACCTATTTAGCCTAGTTACAGAGGGAAAGGAAAAGGCAAAAATATAATGCAAGCAGAGAATTGCATTGATTTGGTGATTGGTCTAAATTTTTTAAAAAAACAAGGGTGGAGGGAGCAAAGTGATTGCTTCTGTCCTAGTAAATTCCAGGTGGGTGTTTTCATTTGCACCTATGTGGACTAGTAGGAAACACAGCTTAAAAACACCTCATTGCACTCTAGGCCATTAATTCCTGCAATCACTCCAGCATGTTAAATAGACACTGCCAAAGCAACACACCCCAGTATGTGCTCAGTTCTGGGAGGTGGCATGAAACTGGCTCTCCAGATGAGCACTGTGGGTTATTTCCATGTGAAGCTCAAGCAACAGTCCCAGGCAGTGTTACAGCCTCATAAACCTGGACAATGCAGTGCGGTAATATTGGGAACACTGACATAGCTCACAAAAGGTGTCTGTAAATGATGAGGGATGGGGGAATTTGGATGAAATGAGCCACAGACGCAGGCTGTCTAAACAGGCATAAGAAGTTTTGACTCTTTCCTCCCACTTAAATTCATGTGCCTGTGATAGAGTATATGAATAAGAATTTAAAGGCCAAACCCACAGCATATAATCAGTGTGTGTGTGTGTGTGTGTAAAAAAAAAAAAAAAAAAAAAAAAAAAAATTAAACCAAGTCTCAATTTAAGTTGGGTGAAACTCCAATTACCAGATTTGTAAAGACAGACTGTAAAACAGTCTGAAAAGTATGCAATGGCATTAAAGAGAAATTAAAACAGATCTTTGATTAAATCAAATATAATGTTTTTATCAGTATGGAATAACTTGAACCTGGTGACTTTTAGCCTGTGGACAGGTATGTCCACTTATTTTATGGCTGTAAATGTACCTCGAAGGAACATGTTCCTCCACCTGAATTTTTGGGTATGTAATTTTGGAGCAATTATAAACTCAGTGGCAGACAGGATAGAAATTTGATCATCACATTTAATCCTAACCTGTTAAATATGAATGATGGACTAGTGGGTGTATCCCAGGATGTTGACACATACAGTTTCCATCCTGGAATTTACAAATGTGATAGCTGTTGCAGGCAAAGAAATAATGCCACAGGATTATGCATAGCTCAACAGCAGGCAAGTGCTGTACATCTGAAGTCTTGAGCAGCAGTTTTTCAGTGAAGCATGTACTCTCCTTCTTGCATCTCTGCATATGCACTCTCTTCCTATGCCCTGTCCCAGTTATCTGCCTGATTTGGACTGTTGTTCATGTTGCTTCCTGGTCTGTTAAGCATGGGCTTTGCTGTGCCTGCTGTGAGATCTGAAGAAGGGAACACTGAGCAAGAATAAGGTGCTGGGAAGACTTTCTTGCTTTGGAAAGATTTTTACTTTCATTGCAACATACCTTAAAGAGATGAAATTGGCTGAACTCTAACATATTTTCTACCTGAGTCTGTTCCCAGAAACTCAGATATTGAAAGCTGGACTAAAAGTTGGGATGAAGCAATTGTCAGGGTGAGGTGGAGCTGTTCATCCCTCTCCCTGTTACAAATAATAAGGTTTCTTATTTCTGTCAGGAGAACACTTCAGGTTCCTTACACTGAGAACTCCCTTTTCTTCTTGGTATTTTTACTAAGAACTTTGTCTTCCTAGAGGGAGTGAATCCTGAGTATAAAAAAAGAATGGGTTTGAGGTAAGGCCTCTGAGGGTTGTCTTGCATTTGTAAGAGCTGTTGGGGGCTTTCATGAGGCCTAGTTGGGATGGTGTAAGCTTATTACAGGGTAGGCTTCTCTCTAAAATTTGCAGCAGGACAAAATAGCCCTTTATTCTTGCCTTCTTGCATTTGAACATAAAGTATGAACAGGCTAACCAGAAAAGCCTCTTTCCTCATTGCTCATACATCACTGGAGAATGCAGTAGCAAAAATGTAGGTGGATATTTAAGATGATCTGTGAACTATCAAAGAACTAAAGAGCTGTATCTGATCTGGGAATCTGTCCTTTATTTTCTACCTCTTGGGATAAAAACATCATAAGTATTTTATGTTTCTAGTTAACTAAGCAGTAATATAAATATGTACATGCAACTAAAACCAGTAATTGTAATTAACAAGCATATCTTCCATTTAAAAAACAAACAAACAAAAAAAAAACCCTTAACTTTCCAGGAGAGAGACAGATCTGAATGTCTGATTCCTAAGCTCAGACTAGGATTTTAATGTTCAAAGTGTTTTGCCCTCACTTGCTGTTTTCTTTTTTTTCAGCTCTTGCCCTTGAGCACAGATTTTTTTTATGAGTAAAAGCTTTCATTCCCCTATCGATCTGACTCCAAGATACTTCTAATCCTTTATTCATATAACCAAAGCTATCCAACTACAAATATGTGCTTATTTCTATTTATTTCACTTGGGGACACTTGTCTTTCCATTTTTATCAGTACATTTCATCTTTTCTTGTTTACTCACTAGTTAGATCCTAAAACTCTTTACCGTAACTATCAAAGGTAGGTGGTATGAGGTCATCAGAACACACAAGCTCTGTTATTTACAAAGGGCAAATGCTTATTTGGTTAAAATTAGATCAGGATCACATAAATGTCAGAAATTAGATCAGAATCACATTAATGTCTTTTTTAATATATGTTGCTTAGTTTACACATATTCCAAGCATTTTTAATTGTATCCCAGTAAAACCATACTTAAGAAAAGTGGGAGAAGTATACTCTTGTTAACTCTGTTAAAGTTTGCTAATATGTAAACATTGTACTCTTATCCCTAAATTAATTTAGATGTGCTTTAATTACATCAGTGTTAGTTTCTTGGAAACATGTTCATATCTCATATTGACAGTGTCTTTAAAAAGAGTTACTTAAAAAAATACCATTAAGACTGTATGAGCTTAGGATTACTTTACTAGTTATATCAATATAGTCATATACATGATTTTATTGTCTTACTTGAATTCCTTCCCTAGTGATATAAATTATGCTGTGGAAAGATCTTCCAATACAAAAGATCTCTACAAGTTGGGCAATTACTGTGATGTAACTCTATTAGTTAAGATTTATGCCCCAGATATAGGTTTCATAAATCCTTTTTTAGTACATGTAGAATAAAAATGCAGCTGCCACAGAATACAAATTCTTCCTCTGACCTAAAATAGATGTGCTCGTATAAATTTGTTCAAGCCTTTTTAAGAAGGTAGTCTCACTCCAGCAGACCTCTGGGTGTTACATGTGTGCACCGCTTTGCTGCAGACCTCCTGTAGCTGTGCCAGCCTGACTGTGGCAGCTTCTTTGCCAGCCTCCTTCCATGCCTGTGCTCCAAGAACAAGGACTGTGGCTGCCCTCCCTTTGGAGCTGGTTCAGGTAGTGTATGCTTTCGTTAGGATGCGTGTTGGATTTTTCCTTTCTTAGGCCTTTCTTTTACCTCCTCGCTTCCAAACTACTTCTGTTCCAGTCACACAGCAGCTGAATTCAGCCATGTTGGGAGACAAGTTGGCACCCAAATCGGAATGTGACTCAGAGCCATTCAGATAGATAAGGTGCTGACTGCCTGTAACCTTCAGACCCTGTCTACCACAATCATAAGACCAAGGAGGAAATACCAGGAAGAAAGTGCCCATGCAGAGTCCCCTTTCAGAAGCATAAGGAATGCTGTGACCTGTTGTGCCATCTTGATGTGCTTCCCTTGGAACAGCACTCAGGCTCTGGGAGGACTCAGAAGGAGCATGTGAACAGCAGCAGGCACTATGCTGTAGGGACTGTGGTGTTTGTATCGGAGCGGGATCTCCCACCACTTTCCTTAGAATAATCTGAAGTGATGATGTGAGTTCTCTAGTGTTTTCTGCTCTTCAGATTGTAACAGCTTCTTTCTTCAGCCTACCACCTCTTTGAGCTGTCAGCAAAGCAGCTCCCCATTCTGCTTCCAGCAAAACCATCTGCTTTTTTTCCTAAAGATCTGAAGATCCAAAAAGTAATTTTTTGCTACGTCTACATGCCATAAAAATGATAAATAAGAATATTTTGCTTTGTGGTGGTCAGAAATAAGACAATCATATGGGGAATGATTCTAAATCTGCACTCTTACTTCTGAGGAAATGATACCTATGATTTAGCTATTGCTTAATTCTCCTGTTTTTATACTGTTGAGCTAGACTGTCTCATGAGCAGGATCCCTCAGTCTTTCCCCATCTCTCTTGCTGACACTCCTCATGACTCACTCTAGAACAGCACTGAGGGTATCAGTGACTCAGCCATGGGACATGTGCCCCATCAGTCAATCTAGGCATGATTTAAAAAAGAAGCAAATAGAAGTTTTGTGTGCTGTGGGAAGACAGATCTTTCAATTTGATTAAAAATGTTCCATCCAATTACCCACAGAAGGAAGTGACTTCATATAGCTGAACACTTAGCTATGCTTACCCTAGTAATTGTCAATATATTTTTTTTCATTTTGAGCAGGTCAAAAAAAAAAAAGCTTTCCTTTTGGTTTTCATTCTGTCACCTAGGAACAATGCCTGGAGTAACAAGTCCCCAGGTCTGACTAGCTCCATAGGGCACTACCATTTTGCAAATATAAAATAAAAATATCAAAAGAGTGAATTACACAATTTAATGAAATTGTTTGAAGTAATCAGATTCTGGGCATCTACCAATTTCCAAACAAATTAAAGCTTTATGTGGAATTTGATCATTGTACTCTGGAATAGGATCACAATCTGTAGTTTGGATTATTTCCTCCCACTGAATTTGGCAGGGGTTGTACTTGCATATTTAGTAGTATACTGCACTATTTAGAACTAAAAATAAATAGCTTCCTAACAAGTGTTTTTGAACAACAGAGTAAATTCAGTAAGAGTGATGCTGTGTGCTAACCCAAATCTCCTTTACTGCCCTGCAAACATCTGTGATCTTGGGAAATAGTTATCTGTAAGATGCTGCTGCTATAGAAGGAGTTACCTGCTGTTGCCTGTACCAGCAAGCTCAAGGTTGTGCTTACACAGGGAGGTAGCTGCAGCCAGAGTCCTGGGACAAACGAGGCCGGGCATGTGAGCGCTGTGAGCAGCCTGTGAGCACTGGGACGTGACCCTCTTGTTTTCCAGGCGAGTGTCAGGCTTCCCACTGAGAGAAGACACAGCGAAATCAAACGGCCGGGCGCTGGGGGGCCGGGCCGGGCCGGGCCGCACTGCACTGCCTGCCCGTTGCGCGGGGCCCAACGGCCCCAACGGCCCCCGCCCAACGGGCGTCACGGCGCGGGCGCGGCCGTATTTGCGCATATTGAGCGCCTGCCTGGTTGCCCTGTAAACCTCGCGGAGAGGCGGGCGCGCGGCGCTGGGCTGGCCGCCCCGCCGCGGGCGCCGCGCTCTCCCTCCAGCAGCCCCGTTCCGGCTGCCGGGGCCGGCCCTGCCGCGCCCAGGAGCCCTTGGTGGGCGCGCTCGGCGTTGGTCTCGACCGTATTTACCCTGCCTCTACCGTATTTACGCCCACTTGCCGCCGCCATTTCTGGGGCCGTAAAGCAGAGGGGGGAACACGTGCTACCGTATATCACGGCGCGTAAACGCACGGCGCCGGTGCCGCTCCTGCCATGCGGCTGCGGCGCATGCGCGGCGCGGCGGGGGCGGTAGCGGTAGCGGCGCGGTGGGGTGAGGAGAGGAGGAGCGGCCGGTGCCGCCGCCTCCTCCGCGGCTCTCGGTGCCGACGAGGCCTCGGCACGGCCTCATCCCGGGGGCCATGGCGCAGCGGAGGGCGGCGGAGCGCGGGCCCTGCCAAGCGGCGGCCGAGGGCACCAGGCAGCAGCGGCAGCTTCTGGAAGGTGCCCGGCTTGGGGGAGGAGGGGGCGCGCGGGTCATCTCGTCCGGCCAACGGTCCGTGCGGCCACTAACGGCGGGCACTAACGGCGGGCACCGCGCTCGGGCCGGTGGCGGCAGCGGGCAGCGCTCCCGGGAGGCGGCGGGGCCGCGTGCTGCCCTGACGCGGCTGCTGAAGCGCTGGGGTGGCGGGCGGCGCAGGATGCGCTTCCCCGTCCCCCCGGGCGTCCCGGGGCTCCCCGGGCGAGAGCGGGCGGCGGGAAGCGGCTCGGGAGGGCGGGCGTCGCCGAGGCCCGGACGCGGCGGTGCCCGGTGTTTCGTCATCGGCGCCTGCCCTCGGCGGGCGAGCGGCCGGGCCTGCGCCGCGCTCCGTGCCCGCGGCGCGCTGCGGGGGCCGCTGCCCCGGCCCGCGGCCGAGGGCCTCGTGTGCGTATCCGTCCTCGCGTGGGTGCCGAGAGCGGGCAGCGAGCGGAATGTGGCCCCTAAGCAGGGAGGTGACGGGAGTGCTAAGCACTGCCAGGACCTGCGGCGGGGAAGAAACCGAAAATGTGGCTGTAGTTATTTGTGAGGCCTCTGCTCAACGTATAGAGGACAGGAAGACTTAATTTAGATGGGATACATATGAGAATAAAAGATATGTAGTTCTCCACTCTGGTGGAGTAGAGTCTTTATATTCCAAACTGCTGGTGTGTGTGTGTGTGTGTATGTATGTAGGTTTTCTTCTGCTGAGTGTCTTCTACCTAGTTGTGGCTGGTGTTCATTCTTGGGAAACAGTTTCTTAATAAGCAGGTTTAAAAGAGTGTACTGAAATCTAGAGATGCAGGGACACGCAGAGCATGTGGCACGGTGTTGCTTCCAGACAGGTTTGTGAGATCTCCAAAGAAGTTTGGATTTGTTTGAGAGCTTTCAGGGAATTTGAGAAGTATGTCGTGTTTGTTATTGAAATCATTGGTGGAAAGAAAGACTGGAGAACTTATAAAAGCATAACTTTGATTTCTGTTGCAAGTGTTTTCTTAACTTTTTTTTTTGTTTAATTTCAGGGAAAGCCCATGCAGAAGGTGGATCAGCTGGAATGTCTCTTCTTATTTTGGTGTCCATCTTCTTATCAGCTGCTTTCCTTATGTTTTTAGTATATAAAAACTTCCCACAGCTTAGTGAGTAAGTATGTAAGGAAAGATTAACCTATTTGTTTTTCTTTCGACATCAGATTGTAGAGGAACCTGTATAACGTATATGGCTTTATTTGATCCTAAGCTGATATAAATTAAAATACATTATAGACATAACTCGAGTCAATCTCTCCCTCTCTGTTTTTTTTCTCCTCAAGAATCCAATCTACAGCCAACACTTTATATAGAAATGCATACTAACTTGTAAAATCTGTTTAAACTCTGAAGTTTTGTTTTAACACCATTACTATTGCACAGTTGAGAGATGGTGTTCTAGAAAGTTACCACTTTTGTCACTTTAAAAATGGAGAGAGAGAGGGGGGGGGGGGAGAGAGGAAAAAGTTCTAGGTTAGGTCAAGATTTATTTTTGCACCTTTCTTGCATGGGTGCAATGGCAGTCTTGTGCAAAAGGGGGCATTCCTCCTCCTTTATGCCTAAGTTTCATGTTCTGTTTCTCTCCCATTTGTTGCATCTAGGGCTGTCCGGAAGGTAGTTTGACAAAATGAAAGTTTTCTTGTCTGACTACTTTTTTTTTTTTCCTGCCCTGTCTGGCCACCTTGTTCAGCAAGTTAAGTTCATGACAGTCTAATCACTAGGTCTAATATAAAGGCAGAGGAAATGTTCACCTGTGCAGCCTGGAGTTGCACCAGAAAAGATGTGTTGTGAAATTTCACTCTCAGAACTTTATTTATTTGCTAAACAAAGCTTAGCTTCTGTTCCTACACTTCAAATGCTATGACCTTTTCATTAAGGCAGTCTTACTTGCTCTTTTGACTGAAATATTGACCACTGCACAGTTGCCAAACTTAGTTTTCAGTAATTATTTAGCTCAGTTTCTTTTCGGTGACAAAACCTATAAATAAAAACAGAAATAGAGTAAGAAATAAAGCAGATCATTTACATGTTTGCAAGACATCCTTGTTACTCATTAAATAATTTTATAATCATAAAAATTGCAGGTACTGAAAGAGTTTATCAAAGAATGTTATCACAGCAGCAATAATGTGGTTTGTTTGCTAAGATTATAGTTTGGTCAGTGAGTATTTTACTATCCATATATTCAGTAAGTAATTTTACTGTACTATTTGCTTGCCTTTCACTCAAACCTGATTTTGTTTGTTTCCTTTCCAGAGAAGAAAGAGAATGTATAAAGATTCCTAGAGACATGGATGATGCAAAGGCCTTGGGAAAAGTCTTGTCCAAATATAAGGACACCTTTTATGTTCAAGTGTTAGTGGCTTATTTTGCCACGTATGTTTTGTATCCTTTTCCTTATATTAAATTCTTTCTTTGATGTAGTTATTTCTCTGAAAGAGTTAAAAAATAGAAAGCTATGTTAAGTTTTTGATGAAATACAAGGGAGACTAAATACTATTGAGGGTTTTTCTTGTGACTTCTTATTGGCTGTTTATATTCTGAAAAGATATTTTAAACTTCTATGGTAGACTTTGTCTTTAGCATTATGCTAACTTGTAGCACTTAGCACTTGAATTGCTTGCTAGAAGTTAAGGTTAATTCTGAAAGAATATTGAAACTGCTACTTCTCTACTCCTGGGACATTCAAAAGTGCCCAGTATGAGAGTTGTTTGGAGAAATTCTTACGACACTCATTAAGGAAAGCATTTTAAGTGTTCTTCATATAACATTTTATTTCTTTTTAAAGAGTTGAATTTCTGAGATACTTTTTGCCTAAGGGGAGGCAAAGGCTGCTTGTGTTCTGATTTGCTTCAGTTTAATGCAGAAGACTTTCTGTAACTCTCTGAAAAAGTAGTGCCAAATGTGCTACAATTGATGGCTCATTCTTTTTGAGAGGAGTTAACGAATAATAGATTATAAATGAAAAAAACAAAATGTTAATGTTTATATATAAACAAAAATAGAACGTGGTTGATTATTTAATAAGCTCTTACGACAGCTGATGCGACAATGCTTAATATCTTGCAGTTAGGAGAGGACTGTGATCAGTACACAGGCATGTTGTAATTATTTGAAAACCTGGACACTTCCATAGAAAAAGCTGTACTGGTCTTGATGTTGGGAAAGACAACTTGGCTGCTTGATATTTCAGTTAGTTTAGATCAGAGGGAGTAGTGTTCTTGAATTCCTTTCCATTACAGAATTTCCGTTCAGGAACTGAACTAACACTGTAGCCACAGCTGTACAGAGCAAATCTTAAGCTCAGCAGTGTTTTCTTGTGTGTTGAAGGATTTCTGCTTCTCTGAAAAATGTACGTAGACGTAATGTCCTGATCTCTCAAGGGTTCATTTGGCCCTATGTTAGCAGCCTGGTACTGTAGGCTAGATCTAAGAATGAGGAGGAGTCTCTTACCATCAGTGATCCAGCAAAAACATTTTGACTGAAAATAGGGATCGTGCAAGATAGTTATCTAGTGGTTGTGCTGTATCTGTTTATAAACTGAGTAAATTCAGTGCCGACAGAGTATTTTCTCAAAATACTTCGAACTGATTTCTGGGAGAGATTTTACTGAAATAACAGCCTTTACACTCAGTGATGTTAATAAGGAAATAGTAATTTCCTTGACGTGTCACCTGTCCATGTCATTGTGATTATGTGCTCTGAAGGGAGATCTCTGAATCTTTCAGAGAAAATGACTGAAATTTCTATATGGTTAGTCTGCAATATAAAAGCAGAACTGTATATTCTCTGTAATGTCAAAGTGAGTCTCCAGTGTCAGTTGTAGCACAAAGGGAAACATGTAGTACTGCTTCAGTTTGGTGATTTATTTTTGTATCTATTGCTGGAATATTTAGCCCTTGTTTTTTTCTCTTTTGAATCACCGTACTCTTATTTCACACTTGTTTGAAGCATTGTGGTGTTTGGGTTTCATGTGCTATTCTGCAAAGATACTTTGAAGTATCTTTTGATCTTTTGAGTCGCGTAAGTATGTACTTGTGTGCATTTTTTTGTTTCTTTTCCTTCCATTTTTAATATGCAACAGGATTATTTATAAAGTTGTGTAGCTTTTTAAAAAATATATATTTTTGTTTTTTTTTCCTTAACTAAAATGTATCCAGTTTGCAAACATTCGCTATCCCTGGGTCTATATTTCTCAGTATCCTCTCAGGATTCCTTTATCCCTTCCCACTGGCCTTATTTCTTGTTTGCCTGGTAAGTATGGAAAACAGCTTGAGAGAGCAAATATTTCTATCCATACAGAATGCAACCAGTCATCCTAACTGCTTTTTGTCTGCAGTGATCAGAGATGAAGTGAAATAGTCAAGTGTAACTCATTTTGAGAAATGAATGAGTTCTAGTCCAACTCCATTATGAGAATGGCATTACATTCTCATAATCCACCATAACACTGGGCTATGATCCAAACTACTAAAATGTTCGTCCAGGTTTTCTTAATAATGGAGGCAGCTGGCTGCTAATCAGGCGGAGATTTATCTAGCATCCACTGGAACCTGATGGTAATCTCTGCAAGTGCTATGTTTTTATTATTGCACTACAAGATGTATCAGTTTTTAAATTGTTTAAATAATCAAGAAGCTTAAATTAAGATATGGAATGTATGTTACTGACAGGTTTTCAAAAATTTCCAGTGGAAAAGATGTAGTTACAGCGAGCCTTAGTATGTTGGACCAGGATGATGAATTTTTGAATGCCATTCTGCCATTATTTGCAAAGTTTTCACTATTTAGGATCTTATCAATTAAATGTTTCTATATTTTATGTAGTAAACATTGTCTGTTTTGAACATCAAGATTGATCTAAACACACGGGAATAAGATAAATAATCATATCAACAATACTTTTAGTAAATAGAAACAGGTTGCATCTGGCTAGTCTAACTACAGGAATATAATTCTACTATTAGTAAGAGCTTCTTTCTCCTTCTCTTGCAGTGCTCAGGACTCGGCGCTTCATTCTGCTACATGCTTTCATACCTAGTGGGACGGCCTGTTGTATACAGATATTTAACAGAAAAGGCAGTAAAATGGTCAGACCAGGTAGATACTCAAATACTCAAATTCATGATAGAAAATGTGCAGTGAACTGAGATGGAAAACTGGGGGGTGTCATACCTATAAATATAATGAAAAAGTGAAGATTTGTCTCCTGTGTAATTACTCTTCCTGTTCTTAAACACGGGGAAATACTTGGATTTATAGTACTTTATACTCTGAATGAGAATAAATTGGACATAAAATGAATTGGTCAAGCTGAGCTAGAGATGGAAAACAAATACTACCTGTAAGCAACTTCAGTTAAAGCAATCAAATTAAAATTTTTAATGATTTTGTGTTGGGAAGCCCTTTCTGTACAGGAAGACTTTGCAGCTGATATATGTATTTTTAATTCTTCCTGATGTAACTAATGGCAAGTAAACCTCTGTAACTATGGCAATAAATCTCTCCAGTTTCAATTTAAATAAGCAGGGAACATATCTGTGAAGATCAGAACTAATGAAAGCTAGGTTGGTTTGTCTGTTTGTTTTCCCTCCCATATGGGGCAGGAGAAAACATAGTTAGGATTAGACCTGCTCCTGTGCAGAATTACATGTTTAAATTAACTGAATCAAAAGCACTGTCAGCATACTCTACCACAGACTGGTATTTCCAGACCAAGTTAAGTCCCATTTAAGAGATGATTCTTTGATTCTAGATTGCATCAGTCACAACTATTCTCTCTCTTTTTTTTTTTTTTTTTTTTTTTTTTTTTTTTTCAACAGAAGATACAAAATTATTTCGTTATTAGAAGCTAGTGGTTTTTGTGTGTGCATTTCCAAGGCAGGAATTTTACTTATTTTCCCTCTTCTCTGACAGGTTGAAAGACACAGAGAACACCTCATTAACTATATAATATTTCTAAGAATAACGCCTTTTCTTCCTAATTGGTTCATCAATATAACATCTCCTGTAATAAATGTACCTTTGAAAATATTTTTCATTGGCACTTTTCTAGGTAAGAATACTGATTGATTAATTTATTTTTTGGGACAGTCAGAGAGGATATTGCTGCTTTTCTTTTCCTGGATTATTCAGCAGAGATCACCATCTACTGGATAACTGAAAGATTACAGAATGCATTATTCGTAGTTCTTTATATGTAGAATTTAAAACATCAAAAGGTTTCAGTCTTGAGGACTACTACAATGAGATGTGGCTAACTTTCTTAAGGAAATACACCTTCTTGTGGCACATTAATAACTTCCTTTGTTCCAGTTCTCAATTGCTATATTTCCATGAAATTTTGTATCGGTGAGTAATTCCTTGCAGTTCAGCTTAATTTTATGAGGATGTATGTGCCTTTGTGCGAAGCACTATTTCTCCTCTTTGCTTTCCATGTTCATCATACCTTTCTGGGAGTGAATTTGCAATTTGATTACTGTAGTGCTAAATATTTTAATATCTTCTTAAGATGCCACTTAACCCGATTAGAAAACCATCTGTGTTTTTCTTTATGAATTGAATATGATTAGTTTGTAGAGAGATGATTTGAAATGTACACAGTCTAGATAACAGGGATTTTTTTTTCCTGGGGTCCTGTGCTTGAGTTTACATAAAGCAATATAAACATAGCATAAAGACAGCTCTCGTGATAAGGAGTTCTTGTTTTCTAATTTTCATTTATGTCCTTCTTAGATGTAGAAGATATGAAAGTCTGAAACTCTATAGAAGTTAGATGACTAATTTATTATTTCCATCCCCCCCCCATCTCATTTCTGATGTTTTCCCTAACAAGATGTTTTGATTTCTTCACCCTCTTATCCTTCTGGTTTCTCCTTCAGGTGTGGCACCACCATCCTTTGTAGCAATTAAGGCAGGGACAACACTGTACCAGCTTACAACAGCAGGGGAAGCTGTTTCCTGGAACTCTGTGTTTGTCCTCATGATTTTAGCCATCCTCTCCATCCTACCAGCTGTCTTCCAGAAGAAACTGAAACAGAAGTTTGAATAAGGATCAGACTGGATCAGAATTTCCCATATTTCATCTCAGGATCAGCACTTCTGATATTTGTATGTTTGCTTTTCTATTAGATCTTGAACAATAAAGGGGAGGCTTGTAATGGATAAGAATGTCTTTAAATGAACACATGGCCTAAAATTGAAGAAACTGTGTTCAGAACTGTACTACACATAGTTTTGTAACCAAACCATCAGTGTTTTACTTTGTGGGGAGGTACAGGATGAGAGGAGGGAGGACACACTTTGCTCTAATTTTGAGCAGAGCAAAAGTAGAAATGCAGACATGAACTGCAGGCAGTTTCTTAAAAATAAATAATAATAAAAAAGTGGGGGAAAAAAAAACATCAGGTATTCAGTCCAGTTTTGTAACACTACATTGTCTCTGCAGACTTACATGTGATCTGGTCTGAATACATCTCTCATTAAAAATTTCTCTTCCTTTGCCTTTTGTAATGCCAGAAAAATAGCATCATAAAATAACAGTGCTCACTGAGAAACAAAGATATTTCTCTGAGCAGTACTTTAACTTCAGTGACACTCTTGCCTTCCTGATTGCTTACTCTTTCTATTTTAGTGCTATGTCATTTTAAATACTTGAACCAATATCTGTTCTACTAACTGGATTAAAAAAAAAAGTCAAAGGAGTGTCAAATCAGTCCTCCTTGTCATCTGTATTTTTTTTTTTCCAGGAGAGGATATAGAAAAGGAGAGAGTGGGCTAAAACTTGATCCTTTCTGCCTGATGAATTTTTATGTTGATTATTTTTCCAATATTTCACTTGCATAGATTTTTTTCCTGCCAATTTAATACAGTTATTACTACAAAAAAAAAGCTCATTTTGCAACTGATTTAAAGATGTATAACCAGTGTATTACCACAATTTTTTAAACTATGTGTAAATTGTATAGAATCTTCCATTGCAGGTTGATTGGCCAGGTTGGTACACAGGTTGGTACAGTTCTTGTTGAAGAACTGCTTCCATGTACTGTTCAAGGAATCAGGTAACAAAAATCTAGTATGTCAGTATATATAAACTTTGAAAAGGCAATTCTTTTTTTTCTGGCAAGTCACTAACTGGTGATTGGCAGTTGGCTATGATTCACTCTTAAATGAAAAATATGTTCATTAAATAAGGGTATATGATACCCCTTCTCCCTGTATGACCGTAACTGTTGCAGTCTGTATTGTCACTGGTATCCCATAAAATTAGGTCCTGATCAGCAAAGAACTTAGGTGCACATTTTAAGTCTATCCTACTGAAAGCAATGCTGCTTATGTGCTTAGGTTTCTGTGCCCCTGGAGTATCTTTGAAAATGGGAGTTAGCACATCAGCATGGGCTCAGGCTCAAGGGTTTACTGGACTGTGTGCTTGTGTTAACTCGGTGTGTGATGGATCACTTTGGATGTAAGAGAACAGTTCCATAAATGTGATAATGTGAAAGGTACTTGTACCTTAGAGTTTTTTTTTCTTGTAACATAATGTTGATTGACTTCATTTTATCACAGTATTACATGTAAATATATAGTAAATATTATTGATATGCTATTTTTGTCTTTTATTTAATTCTGGCCTGCACAATAAATGGTATTTTTATGTTGGTAGATAAAGAAATTCATATAACTTACTTCTATTTAAAAGTGTATTGTAAGATCACTTAATTTTTGCAAATTGGTTTCTTATTTAGAATTGACTCTAAACCTGTACTTTATTGGCACTTAGAACTGAATGGTGATCATATTGCTGTACCTCTAATCTCAGAGCTCATTTACCTATGGAATTTACTCCACACTAAACTAGGGTATGAATTTAGTTGTGGAGAGTTGCATATCCACTGGATTATTGAATGAGAAGTAGCTGAAGATTTATTTACGGCCTACTTTTCTGTGGAATAAATTGCACTCGTTACTGTAGCTCTCTTCTCAAAGATTCTCACTTTTTTTTTTTCTCCAGTCAATAATAGATGCTATTATAAAATTCCTTTTCTACTCTATGAAACTGGTATTTTTGTTCAACTGTGGCATTAAAGAAGAAACTGAATTAAGTTTTGATTTCCCACGGATCATGCTACTGCTTCAGACCTTCGTTTAGTTGCATTTCACTGTGTGGATGAGATCTGGTTATGCTGTGGGGAAATAAAAGTTCTGTTTCAGTTCCTTAGACTAGCTCCCCAGGACAGGGGCTTTTGATGTCACAAAAAAAGTTCTTTTCTTTTGCAAAATCTTAGGAGTTTTTTGTTGTGTGATGTCTTTTTAAACCCATCTCCTCTGTCTTCTATCTTTGGCTGCCAACTGCTTTAGGCAGTTTCTTATCACATGAGAACTACTTAGAACTTCCTTATTCCTGAAGAATAAGGAAGGCCTTGTGCAAAAGACGACAAAAAAAAAAAAAAAAAAGGCAGCATAGAGCTCTGCTGAGGAATACTATACTAGCCCATCCTTTCCTGCTTGCAAATCTAACAAGATCCAAGGGAAAACCATAACTTTCAGACGGGAAAACAATGTTTACTATGAAGCAAAAAGGGAATTTGGGAATATGCAAGTTCCTCTTAATAGCAAAGAACTCTGAGGTCTTGGGTGACCTCTTCATTTTCTAGATTATTTTTTGTTAATGAAATTGCATAGCATCATCACTAAGTGTCTTATCATTTGATAATAAAACTACTCTATAAACCTTGAAATCTGGTATGTTTTGACTGAAGTATCCTGGTCTTTGTCCTAAGCTAAACTTTTTGATTAATCTATTTACAAAGGATGAGGTATTCTTGCATGCTAACTTAAACTAATGTTCTGATGATTACATTTGTAGATGAGATTCATTCTATTTCTGCTAATTCCAGAACACCTACGTAAGCACAGCTTCCTCCTCTGACTGAAAAGTACTTCTTTAGCATCTATAGCAGAAACTTTGAAAGGCTTTTATTCTTTACAGTGGAAACCAACTGCATCTAGTTTGCTTTCTCTTCAAGTTATAACTATTTGTATGTTTTCCATGAAATCCTGATGGAAGACTTTCAGGATAAAAGTCAATATTACAATTTAGTTCAGATTTCTGTAATGCTACATTAGTGATGAAATCCATTTAAGATTTTTTTTTTTTTTTGCATTCTATAGAATGCTATCAAATTGTGTTGGAAGCTTCTGAAAAAGCTAATACTTTTTTTTTTTTTTTGACATATACCTTAGAGATTTTACTTTAAACAAACTTTTCAGGGAAAATTTATCGTGTGTAGTTTCTCTGATAGCGGATAAACTAGTCTTGCTGTAGTGAGTATTCAAAATGCAATGTGGATGAAATACGCTGCGGTGTTTTGTATTAGAATTGAAGTATGCTGCCTGCATCATACCCTAAAATTATTTACTCTGGATTAAACTGAAGAAACAGGAGAATGAACTCAACTGAGTAACTGATCAAGGATGGAAAAATCTAGCTGCTACTGCAGCAGCCTTTATTATAAGGGGTGAAGTGACTGTTTCTTTCTTTTTTAATCTCTTTCCTCATCCTACAAAACATGCTGTGGGAAAGAACATGGGAACAAACCTTTTTCAGACTGCAACACAGAGAAAGTTAAGAGGTTTGGTTAAGATAACAGTCTTAAGGCCAGTTTTTCTTGATGGCTTTACTATGTTCTAGTAAATTCTCTGTCTCAGCATCTTACTGTCTTCTTTTATCAACATTCTTTCAGTTACATCTTGATTTATATATATCTAATTATATGGCATTGTATTTACTTGTGACCTTAGATACTTGCATTTTAGGCCTGAAGAATAATTTATATTCTTCCACCATTGTCATAAAAAGAATGTTATTTCCTAAATATGGTTGAAGCAATAAAATGTATTTACCTACAAATTTTGAGTTGCTTTTAACATGTTAATGTATGCTCAAATTATATATTTTTAAATTTTTTTTTTAGTTTGCAGAACAAAGGAAGGCTTCCTTTCTGCCCTAGAAATTATTATTCTTAAGAGGTTACTGCAACTTCTAACTCTGAATTCTGGAGCTGCAAATATATTACTGGTGACTTGGGGCAGGGAATATCACTTGGTGTACATGAGTTTGGTCACTACAGATAGACGTCATTCCGTGAGTAACAGCTGACACTGGAACTGGAATATAAATATAAATCCCTTCTGTCCCAATCTGGGAAGAAATTGGACTATTCAAATATGGTTGTCCAACTTTTGCAGGATGCTTAGGTTAAAACCTATCTTCGGGACTCAGTGTAAAGTACATTTATTTACATCCTACTTTCCCAGATAGCTCTCAGAATAAATTGCACTCTTACTGTTGTAGTCGGTTGCTTTCTTCAAAAATTTGCATTTGCTTTTCAATCAGTAAAAGATGTTATAAATTTGTTTTTCTTTGCTGCTAGGTTCATCAGATACAACTTAAATGGGAATATATTTGCTTCCAGAAGGCATTGTATGAAACTGGTTCCCTATACATAATTATAGTGTAGCCTGGAAAATTAATGTCTAAAACCTTCAGAAAGGGTGAGCTGACGTACTTGCCTTTACCGAATATGGTTCCATTGGTGTGCATAGGGTTTTGATTTTTGTACTGAATTTGAGCAGATCCTGTAACTCGGCTTTGTTATTATAAATTGTCATTAATTTCTGTGATGTAAGGTACTGCTGGTGCAAAAGAGGCAGTATTAATTGGTCTAGCTTAACTGTATTTCAATTATGTTGTGCAGCGTAGCTAAAATGCTTCTTTGAATGCTTTTTTGTTTGAATATCGTGCAGAGTAAGGCAACTGCTGCCATACTTAATGTTGCCTCCCAAGCACAGACTGTAGCAGTGCTAGTGAGAAAGGTGCTTACTGGGCAGCTTGACATAAATTCCATTGCCATGGAGTAGAACTAGGATCAAATCCTCCAGCCACAAATAGGCGAGACGGCATACTCTAAAAAGATGCACTTCTAAAGAGTATAGGAAGTCTTAAGAGATAGATTGAGGCTGGAAAATACCTGACACTCTTGCTTGGATAAATTTCTGCTATTTTTGAAGCCAGGCTGTCTGCAAAGCACATTGATGCTGGAGCACACTACTATTCATGTGCATTCAGAGCAAGAATGGAATATTCCCTGGAAGACTGATCATAAATACAAAGATGAAATATAGCATCCCCTCTCCCGCACATATATATATAGGATTTAATTACAGTATGATTTAATTGTATTTATTGGATTATAAAATGCAAGGAAGTATTTACCATGTCCAACAAGTTTAGCAAGGAATGTAGCAAGGGAAAATGAGGAATTAGGTATTCTTTGAAGAAAAAAAAATAGAGCAGTACAATAATGAAAACACTCATAAATATTGAGGGTAAGATATCTAGGCTTCCTTGGAATGTAGCAAGAAAATACATTTAATATGATCATTGGGAATTCTATCCATTCAACGGATTGAATTTTTATTTAGTTTTTATGTGAACATTTTGATAGTACATTAAATCTCCTTTTTTGAAACTTTTCCCCACTGTATTGTGCAGCAAGGCATGTCTACTACTAGATACTGCTGTTCAGTAATTTAAATAATTTTCTACTTTCTTGCTGTCCCACCTAACTTTATTTGTAAAATCTACAAAATATAGGGTTAGTTATGGCTGTAGTAGTTAAAGTGCAAGTCCAAAGAAAGTTTTATTTCCCCCATTTCACTATCTGACAAAAAAAAAAAAAAAAAAAAAAAAAATCTACTTCCCAATTTACACGTGGGACTTTCTGGGCAATTCTTGTAAGACCCTTAAGCTATGACTTTTGTTTATGATGGTTAAACGGTGGTTCAGTTTTCCTCAAAACTTACCGCCTGCTGAACTTTATGCCCTTCACCCACCCTGAAAGAAGCAGGGGGAGAAGCAAAACCTGCAGGAAGGGGCTAGAGAGCAGGCGGAGTGGCAGGGTTTCGGTGGTGGTTGAAATGTCGTGAGCATCGCTTGAGGAGACGGGGGCAGTCAGTTCTCTACTGCCTCCCACAAGCTCCCAGGTAGGCACCATGCAATCTAGCTATGCGTTTACTGCGGAGTTAACCTGACACTGTCACTCTAGTATTGCTACTAATTATCCACCCTGAAGTTCAGTAGTCACTTAAAATTGAGCTAGACTATTGTCATGAAAGCTTAAGTAAGGCTTCCATTTATTCATAACAAATTCTACAGACCCTAGTCTTAATGGAGTGAAAACTAATAGCACCAGCAGCTCCTGCAGCTTTTCTGTTTCTAGGGAAGGAAAAGCTCTCAATTCCATGGGGAAACTGTGAGGAATATGTAGTTACTGTGCTGTGTAGAACTGTGGTGTGTAGTTACTGTGGACTGATGGAGAAGCCTTGCTCTCCACAAGGAAGCAGTAACTCAAGTCTGCAGCGTAGCTTCAGATATGTGAAGTTTCAAGTATTTTAGAACTTGATTAATTCATTATTATAGATGCAACCTTAACTGCTTAGGCAGTCAGCGATAACAATCTTCAAAGACTGAGAATATTTGAGTTTCTCTTCCTATAATTCTGTCAGGGAAGAAGTGTGATGTGAAAGCTACCCATGAGGAGCTGGGGAGGAATGGAAAAGGAACTACCAACCCAGCTAAACTGAGCCTAGCCCTCCCTGGTGTGCGAAAGAGGGAACCTCGAGGAGCAGCGTGTGTTATTAGCTCCTTGTCACGGGACGTGGTTTAAGGCAAAGTTAGTCCGCTTCTCCCCTGTTCCCTGGGCTTGTTTCTGAGCTGTGGCGCCGTTTCACCTCAGCTGTTGGCAAGTTGCACGGGTGACTCTGCTCAAACAGCTACAGCCCCAGGCGCTGCCCCAGCTCATTCCCATAGCGGCTCCGGCCCCTGGCTGCTCCCCGGGGGGAGGCACAGCTCGGCGGGAGCCTTCGGCCCAGACGGCTCCAACGCTCCTCCAGGCGCGGCCCAACGGCCACAGTCACCAGCCCACACCCCCGCCCCGCGGCCGCTGCGGGTTGGAGGCCGCGCGCCCCCGCCAGCCGGGGCGGGCGGCCCCCGCGCGCCTGCGCGCTCCGCTCCCTCTCCCCCTCCCGCGGCCCAGCTGGAGCAGCAGCATCACGTCATCCCCGGAGCGCAGGGCGCATGCGCAGCATTGCGGTTTCCCTGCCCAGCCCACCGTCCCCCCCCCGCGGGAACAGCTGGGGGCTGTTCCCACAATGCCGCGCGGCGCTGCCCGCTCCGCTCCGTCATGGGGAGCGCGGGCGCAGCTGGCGCCGCCGCCGCAGCCCCGGCGGCCGCCGCCGCCCCGCGGCCCCGCAGCCCCTGAGCGCCGCGCACCCCTCGCGCTCCAGCATGAGCGGCGGCGGCGGCTCCTCGCCACCCGGCCGCTTCGCCGACTACTTCGTCATCTGCGGGCTGGACACCGAGACGGGCTTGGAGCCGGACGAGCTCTCTGGTGAGTGGCCGGAGGAGCGCGGGCAGCCCGGCGGTTGCGGGCGGGGGGCGCCCTGCTTTGCGGCCGTTAACGGACGGCGACGGCCGTTGTCGCGCTGCGAGTCCCGGCCCGCCGGAGCCCCGCGCGCCCCCCCGCTCAGCCGGCTCCCCGGGCCGGGTGCGGAGAGGCGGGCGGAGCCGCTCGCGGGGCCCCGGTGCCGGCGGCTGCCCCGGGTCTCTGACCTGCGGACGTGCCCGTCCGCGGCTCCGCGCGGCGCTGCGCCTCGCTTTCTGCCTGTTTGTTTGTGCTTTTTTATTTAAGTGCGTTGAACGGTGTTTTCAAAAATCAAAGCTGCACCGTGGTGGTGCCGCCTGGTCGTACTCCCCGCTGAAGTAGCGGGCTTTATACTGCGCTCCTCCCGTCTTGGTGGCACACGTCAACTTTCCGTGCGGTTCCTGGGCGCTTGGAAAGCGAAGAGATGCTTTTTGGACATCCTAGCGATGTCCAAGTGATGTTCAGTGATGTCCAGCGTTACCCTTCGGAGAGAATGTAAAGATACTTATGTTTGTGCTGTGTTAAATCTTGCTGTAGCCTCAGATAAGAATAGCTGAGGACAAATTGTGTTAATAAGCATGTAGTTAATCTGTTAACGAGTGAGAATGATGCTGCTTAACTCTGTATTTTGGGTAAGCAGTCTGCTTTACAGTAGCATCTCAAACCTGTGTTTTAAGATTCTTTGTTTTAATTGCATCTTATTTTGCCTGTACTTCCCTCTCCCTGGTTTCGGCTGGGTTAGATTGACGTTGAGTTTCATCTGTTTGGAAGGGTACAGCACTGGGGTGGCGAGTCCCTAGCCTGACATCTGTGTTACACCTGTGTATGTGAGAACTGGATCCACAACATGTGTGGGTTTTTTTTTTTTTTAAGTGTCTCACTTGCATAATGTGTCATAAGCTTGTTGTTTTTAATTATTTTTTGGTTATTTGTTTTACATCATAGCACTTTTGCAGCTTGGGCTATGATGGAAACTTTTCTGTTAATCACTTTAACAATTTTCTTCACCTCTTTCTTAGACTGAATACTCTCTTACTCTATGAGAAATCATGTTTAATTTTGTCTTAATGTTTTAAAAATGGCTATAGACTAAGGTATGACTCTTGAAGAGTGGCTAAGGCATAATGTGTTATTTTTAATATAAAATTTGTGCTGCAAGTTTAAATGCAAGAGATGAATATGCAATATAATATATATGATTTTTTTCTTAGTTAAAATGTAACCAAACTTTTTCTGTTGAAAACAATTCAGGGGTCTTGAGATGAACTTGTTATGTATCTGTTCATGGAAGATGGTGCAAAGCACATACTAATAGCTCTCATGTTTACAACTAATAACAATAGTATATTACTCTGAACTACCTATGTGATACTTAAGATACTGGAAGAGAGATGAGTTACTTCTTTGATATAGTGTTTGACTATGCAGTTCTGAAGGCTAGAGTGTGATGTTGATTATCTACTTGCTGTGTCAGGGAATGTGTCCTTATACCCTGGACCTGCAATCCCACTGTGCCCTCAGTGGTGTTGCTTGTGAGAAAGGGGGGCTTGGGGTGATAGGTTTTAGTGCCTGTGAAGAGAGAATGGATTTTTTTTTTTTTCCTCTGAATTTGAGGACAGGGCTAAAAAATATGCAGCACAATAAAACAAAACGGAGAATGGCATATTTATGATAACATCACAGTCTGTGAGCTGGCTGAAATTCCAGTCCGTTTTGTTGAGTTTGTTGCGCTATTAATAATGTGCAGTTGATAATGGTTTCTAAATTGTGTCTTGGGTTATAGGCTTCTGCATCTCCTGATATAAATGGAAAGGACTTCTGTTGATTTTAGTGAGTTTTGGATCAGGCTTTGAAGCAGTCTGCACTTCCCACAAAGCTTTCATGTTTGAGTAAAAGGCTTATTGTGCAGTGTTTTAGTGTGGTATGTTTTTATTCTTTTTTTTTTTTTTTCCCCTCCTTATTTCTGTGTTGAAGAATACATTCTGAATCCTTGCACTGTTGGAACAAATTGCTCCATAAGTGCCCATTGTTGCTGAGAGACACTGGCCTTCCTCCTCGCGCAGCAGCGCTGGGAGGGCCAGCGCGTCCTGGGGACTTCCGCACCAGAGCCTGGCCTTGCAGGGTGTCACCGCGACCTGGCCCGGCCATGCAGGATGTCACCCTGCCCTGGCCTTGCAGGGTGTCACCGTCGCCGCAGCCTGCCCTGGCCTTGCGGGGTGTCACTGTCACCGCAGCCTGCCCCTTACTGCCAGCTCCCTGCTTTGCTCTGCGGGAGCAGGAGGTGCTGCCTCTCAGGTGCTCAGCTGTGAGAGGGGCCGGGCAGCCTTTTCTGCACACCTGAGAAGGAAGCACAAGATAATGAGCTGGTGCTCGATCTAGTTACGCTGCTTTTAATCCTGATCTCTAATCAGGGTTTTTCCTATATGTGTGGGAAGCTTACTAAATAGTATAGCCCTAACACTTTTTCCTAAAGAAGTTGGCTGACTGATGGGAAGTGCATAGTTGATGTAAACAATAAGTTTTTAAACTATGTTTTAATATAGTGAAAAATGTCATATTTAGGATCTTGTGACTAGCATAGATTATGTCCTCTGTCATTTTATATATATATAGTGTGTATATGTATATATATAGTGTGTGTGTGTATGTATATGTACAAATACATATAATCCCAAATTCATGTGTCCTGACTACATAAGGATCATTATTATTCTGTTGATTGTGATCTCACTGGATGTCCTATTAAGCCAGTTAGTGCTTTTGTTTGTTTATTTTACTACAAACTAGAAAAAAAAAAAAACAACAAAAACCAATTCGGTTCTGGCACTATTGAACTTGATCCAGTGATGTTTTGCAGTGCCAGACAAAAGAAGCTGAGATGCATTTCCACAGGTAGTGAAAATGTGCCAGAAAAGAAGGTAGAAATTTCTATAGATGCTTTGCAATAGTCTGTAACAGGAGTTTTTCCTTCTCAGAGGAAATGAAATACATTAGGTGCTGAAATGCTTCTGTGTATAATATTGCTTACTGTAATGTTGCAATAGTATGGCAGGATTTCTTAATGTGAGTTGTATGACTGTACCCTGAGAAGATGATGAGGAGGAAGTGGTGCCTCATCTCTTAGTTAGAATCCCTTATGAGCTGAATTGGTTAAGTCTGATCTGAATGATGGGGAAAATAGTATATTCGCTATATGGAGCTGTTGGGGTTTTTATTCTACCTTTTTTTCACTAAAGTTTTAATTTTCTTTTCTTCCTCTGATACATTAGTCTTTGGCAATCACTTGTTGATGTTATTTGCGTATTATGTAGTGGCAAGCAAAGAATGAACTTGACATTGCAGCACACGTATGTGTAAATGTAGTTTAGGAGTTGCTGGTATATGATGGGAGGCTCTAGACCCAAATGCTTGGGCACTGCCTTCTAATTAAATATTGTCTGTGTTGTGCTTCAATAGTCTTGCATGTTGTATTGTAAAGTTGGTAGGTGTTTCAAGAATCACGGCATGTAAAGGATAAGTAGTCAAAAATGAAAATACTTAAAGTCTGTGAAGAAAATATAGATGATTTAGTAATAGGACTGTTAAAGTGTAGTCTCATTCTGGAAGACCACAGTCATGATCCATCTATCACATGCCTTTCTTAATGCCTTTTCTCTAATCTGAGTTGGTGTTTCAAGGTTTGGTCCAAAGATTTAATTAATTCAATAGATGGCTTCAGATATAAAACAGCAACTGATTTTCAGATTCTACCTGAAGGTAGTGTTGTCCTTGCTGTGGACAGTATTAGTGGTAACTTCCTGCACTTTCCTAAGGATTTGCTGCTTTCCTGGGGGTTTTGTGCAGGGGCTGGAGGGCAGGTTTGTCGCTTTGCAACCCCCAAGGTGTTGCCTGTACGTGAGGGCTCTCTCCGGTAGCACCGAGCCTGAGACCATGCACTGTTTTCACACAGCTCACCATGGATGGGCATTAGACAGCAACAATTTTAGCTGGGCACATGGGAAACGTTTTAATCTGGTTAATAGTTTATTCCACTCTCCCTACCCCCTCCATCTTTGTTTGCCATGTTTGAGTGCCAAAAAGATCCTTTGTCTCTTTGGGGACTGAGGCAGACGTGCTAGGGTAGCTGATATGTAGAATAAAGAACGAGAGGGCTGATGTAAGGGAGAAGCAGCTGTGCTTCACTAAACTGTATTCAAAGCGCAGTTATTAGGTAAGGCTTTCATAGAGATGACCTTGTGATCGTTGTGTCTGTATTTTAGATTTAACCATGGGCTCTGTGCTCTTCCCCACCAGAACTCTTCATTCCTTCCCCCTCTAGTATTTAGATAGGTATGATGTTTGTTTGGAAAGGCTTTTTGGGGAAGGGAGAAGTTAAGGCTTTTGTTCTTAGTTAAACAATGGTTTTAAGTTGCCTAAATGATTTCCAAAGAGTTAAAAATCTAAATTCAGCCTTTTGAAGCCTTTTTGAAAATGTTGTAAGAATTTAAGCATACTCTACAAACATGGGTAGTTTTGGCTTTCTGGTTTGGATTTTTTGCATTTTTTTTTTTACTTTTTTTTTTATGTGAGAGAAACTAGAAAGAACCTTGAATGGGTTTTATTTTTCTTAAACTTCAAACTATTGATTCTGCAGTTGCAAAATACAAATTTTTATTATCTGATTTTTGCGTTAGTGCTGTCCTGCTTGAGTGTTCTGGATGACGACTTCTTGTATTTATCCTTCGAATTCCCTCTAACTTGCAGGTTCTGCTCATGTGGCAGAATAATGCATGGGAAGTGACACTGTCAGAAGCAATCACTTATCAGTGGATGGTGTTCATAATAATCTTCTGTCTAAACTTCTTGACTACAAAAAAACAAATCCAAAAGGCTTGTGAAATTTTAAGTGAAATGGAATTTTAACCTTATGAGGGAAAAAAATACTGTGCAGAGAAATTGTCAAGCATTCCAACACAAACTGATGAAAT